GTAATTATAGAATTTGAAATGAAATATAGAGCAATATCTCTAGGTTTTATTCGAGTAACAAGCGCATTATGTTATTATCTTTCTTTTACGTTTTTAGACTAGATCTGTCGTAACGCCACGAATACCGAAATTTCAAATGCCATATTTAGTTTTAAATTTGTATTCGAACTTGACCTGTATTTTCTGGTAAAATACCTGCATATGCAATTTCAAAATATATAAATACATCCCTACAAAAGTTAGAGAGCGGAAACTGAAAATTTCTAGTTCAAGAGGGATAACTCAATTTGTAACTTGACCTGTATTTTCTAGTAAAATATTTACATATGCAATTTTAACCTTATACATGCATCCCTACAAAAGTTAAAGAGCGGAAACTAAACATTTCTTATTTTTTCTACATTCAAGAAGGATAACTCTGTCAAAAATCATTGGTCCATGACCAAATTTAAACTTGACCTGCGTATTCCTATGACATATCCATATGTCAAATTTGAGTTGAATATGTGCAACTGTTGCAGAGATAATAAACGGAAAATGAATGATGGCGGAATGACGGAGCAAATTAACACTATATATATAAGGCCATTTTATGGCGGGGGTATAATAAACAGACTTTCGAGTTTTACAGAGATATTTGAAAGAGCAAAGCAATCAAAAATCACCCTAAATCACCGATATCAATGTGTGTAAAGGAGTCCTTGCAGTAGATTCCTCTGCTAAAACAAAACTATTCCGACTTATTGGAAGGTAAAATATTTCATATGACTAAATGTTTTCTACTTATCGGTACGTCGATGTAAAATGTAATTTAACAAAATACATTACATTAAAGCTGAACACGATTCGTAAAGGGAAAAGAGTTAATATTTTTCCTCAATATTTCTTTTCTCTCTATCTGTGTTCATCAAGACCTTATATAAGCTCGAGTTTTATTCACAGCGTAATGTATTTTACTTACAGATTTAACCTGTGCAGACGTCTCCTCCTTTGTCATTGTGATATGTTTAGGCACAACAAAAGACTTCTGTATGCTTCTGTCAAATCAGGAACAAAGTTATCAAAGATATATGATATCATTTGCACAGATTAATGCATTTTAAAGTAAAGCAAACACAAACGCACATTCAATGAAATAAAATGTATACAAAAGGATTTATACATACATATATATGATTGTTGTACACGTCGCAGCGACCAGATAAAAGCAATCAGGTGTAAGGAATACGAAAGGTGTTTATACCCCAGTGCTGATATCAGAGATAGGAAAACTAATATGACGTAATCCACATGCATATTTTCATTGCAAAGCAATGGTGATTGGAAGGTAAATCATTTTGTACACTCTTTAAATATTAATTCTCAATCTTGAAATCTACATATGATCAAAACTTGATCATGTAATATACAGGTTAATCAAGCAGTAGAATCTGTGAGAATGTTTATTATTATTGATTAAAAATCAATTTCAGCCGAAGAAATTAGATCCTCATCAAATACTTTACCTGACCGACATTTATTTCAAATCATCGATATACAAAACAAACGTGTATGTAAGCATTTTCTAATATAGCAATTGTTTCATAGATTAAGAATTAGGGCTATGTATAATGTTATTTAATACATGCATATACGAGGGGTTATCAAAAAAAATTCGTAGACTGGTGCGATAAAAATAATACTACGTAGTGGATGCCTACAGAATTTATCAGGAACATAAAACAACACAAGTTTAAGAGGTGTTAAAAATTTTAGCTTGATACGTTGAATTCCATGACGTCTGACGACGTCATTGTTTCTTAATGTCTGCTCCCTCTATCCCAATACACTCTTCTTAAAGAGCTTCCATGGATCTAAGTAAAGACTGGAACCCGTCTTGTTTATATGACTTTAATATGTCATGAACAATTGATTTCAATGCATGATATTGTAATTGGATCTCTACAAAAGGAAACGTTCCTCACTTGATTATGCCAGCATAATTTGGCTGTTGGAGTTCAATGACCACCACACATGAGCAACGTCTCTTTTTGAAGTGACTAACTTTGGACACCCAGACTACAAATCGACATTTAATTTTGCATCTTTCATCTCTCTGAATGTTTTTTTTTTAGGAATCTTAAAACAGGTATTTTGAATGCATTTTTCCCTCTGTACTCTGTTTAAACATTTCCTAGGTCTATGCCATTTTTTCCAGAGATGAACCTTCATAAAATGTCGGAAAAAGCATGTTTCCCCTTCGTGCGTCATTTTAAACCCCTTAATTGTTTGGAAATTCCATATAAACTTTATTATAAAATTTAATAGAACTTACAGAATGAGGAATACAGAAGAATTGTGTCGAAACACGTAAGTTAATTAACGTGATTATTGGATGACAAACGCTCATATTAAAAAAGTTTTCTCCGTTAGACATAGATAGAAAATGTCTCGTATTTTGAGGTTGCGCAGCCTGGTCATACCATTGCTTAGAAAAACGTTAACAATTTATTCAAAAAATTATTATTTATACTTTATTTTATAAATATAATAGATGATGCTAATTAAATGTATTGAAAATCATTTGTGCACCTCAAGCGGTTTTAATTTTATGGCGCTAGTCCGCGAATTTTTTGATATACCTTAGTAGTTCATGTATTTTGTGTATTAATTCGATTAGTTTTGAATATAAATAATTAATGTATATATTCGATGACACTCAAAGTAAGATGAAGAAAGCTGACTTTGTCAAAGTTGATTTTGTCAAAGTGAAGTTTAGGAATTACGTCTTACTTCGTTTAACGTCTAACTTCGGCAAAATTTAAGGAATCAAATAACAATTTTAAATACTTCCAGGAAATCCAAGAAAATCCAAAAGGTCAAACTACTTATGCATAGTGTCATTTTGTTTATAATCATCGCCCTAGGTGATTTGTGATTTCACCCTACTATACAGCTCAACATAGTTTATTATCATGACAAATAGGAGTTAAACGCATACAGTTCATAATTAAGATCGCAATTTTTGAGTGAGACATAATGTTAAAGACAACAATAAAAAGTCACTTTATATTTATAACTTTTTAAATATATATATCATAGGGTGAAACTACTCCATTCAGTCAACTGAATAGTCACTGAAAGGTCTGTAAAGGTCACTGAATGGCAGAACTCTGTCATTCAGTCACCTTTCAGTACACTTTCAGTCACCTACATTCAGTTACTGTAACTGAATGGTAGAGCATCATCCTGTCTATGCTGAAATTGACAACACAGTCTGTGACAAATTGACAATTAGCTGCGACACTAACTTTTGTCATGTCTAAATCTGCATTTTCACATTTTCAAACAAAAGCAATTATATAATACAACAAGCTTTGATTTCTTTAAAGTTTTGCTTCCTTACTTTGGATTTATTTCTTTATTTTTTGTTTCATTTTCTTTTAAAGACTGAAAATTTTGTAGCCTTTAAATGTGGAATGGATTCCAATATTTTTGAAAAATACAGAGAAAATTGTTGGAAACTTAAACCAAAGAATTAGTTTACTATGGCCTAAAGCTTAAAAAAAATAGTGGCATCCAATTTACGTTTCATGGTAAATATGCTGTGAGTGTTATTGAACTAAGAAGTTCATGCTATAATCATTTTCCAACTCCTACAAAAACTCTCGCAACTGTTTTCCATTCGTTGTTGTTTCCTAGTCAAAATGGGAAAAAATGATGTTCAAATTGTACATTAAACTATGAATTCTTGTATGGCTGACAATACAGACCAGATCTAATGTCAAAGTTGTATATATTCATCACAGTTTATATTTAATTTTTGAAAGGATTCTTTAATTTGTAATGATACTTAGTTTACAGTCGCCCGCGTGGCCTAGTGCTAAGAGCGTTTGCTCTAGAGTCGCGGTGTAAGGAGTTGATCCCGGTATATTAATGATTGATTATGTGTTGTTTTACGTCCCGTTAGAGAATTTTTCAGCCCTCGACCAAGACCATCGGGCCTTCGGCCCTTTTGCTGATATTGGTGCCTCGGGCTGATACTGGATTTGATAAAGAAGTGTGGAACGCCAAATTAACACATTTTCAAATATCTATCTTCAAATATTTATACCTATTTTCAAATAAGTGAACATATCTTCAAATGAATTGAAGATAGTTGCAATTAAATCAAAGATAGGTTTAAGTGAAATAAGGGTAGATGTAAATAATTACACCTATCTTTCAATAATTGAACCTAAGTTCAAATGAATTTAGCATATCTTTAATTCTATTACAGATAGGTTCAACTGAATTATACCTATCTCTTAATCTTTTGAAGATTGGTATTATTGATTTAAAGATAGGTATATTCAATTAGGATACAATTAATACATCTAAACAAATAAATTGAAGAAAAGTATAAATCAATTAAACATGTACCTAGGTTCAATTCAATTGCACCAATTATACCTATCTTTAATATTTAGTGTTTGCACCTATATTCAATAATATTATACCTATCTCCAATTGAACTAAAACTATAATTGAATTAAACCTATCTTCAATTCCTTTGGAGATAGTTACAACTGATTTGAAGATAGGTAAAATATTTGAAGATAGATACAAATATTTAAATATATGTTTATTTGGCGTTCCAGAAAAAAGTGTATACATTATTCTCTCTCTCTCTCTCTCCATGTATGTATCCATAAAGTCAAAACTGTATACATGAGTTTATGAAATGTCTAGTTTTTGCTGTTGTAATAGACGTCCTTAAAATCGACAATTGTACCAAATATTTACATTACAAAAATTATAGAAATAATATTTTTGGTGTTCACGTTGACTCAAACTCGTACTAGTAAATAAAACCCACATATGACGTTATATAGCATATACTTCAAGGTATAAATAGATTTAATTTGAATATTTCTAAATTAAACTAAATATATGAGGAAAATTATTTTGTAATTTTTTGCATAGAAATTCAATGATTTTATTTAGATACTCTTTTTTACAAGAATAGTTTAAAGCCGAACATGCCACCCAAGAAAGATAAAGCCAGGAAGCGGAAAACCAAAGATTCGAATGATACAAATAGAGCAGGACCTAGTGACCTTGCCGACAAAGAGGATTCAAAACAAAGGTTCGTAAAAAAAGAAGAAAAAAAATAACCACACACACACACACTCAAAATCCAAGGGGTAGAAAAAAACAGAAAAATCAAAAATCTTTGCAAAAAGAAAGATGTTAAGGTTGTTATAATTATGCCCATAATCCAATTTTCAATAACAAGCGCATTCAATTGTGTCCGATATATTTTATTGCAATTTTTTTTTAAGAATCCTCAAGTATGCAACAAACTTATTATAACGTTAAAGTTTCCTAGTTTTCCTTATACTTGCATACACTTAAAATAAAAGACTGCAATGAACTCCACCAAGGATTAAAGAAGGTTATTTTTATACAGTATGTTCATTCTGTATAAAGATATAACTAGTTTAAATTTACTTCACCTTAGACTAAATGTCGTGAAAAATGATGGATGGGAATGCTTAATTAGAGTCCGGCTTTGTGGTCGCCCTACAGTCTGCCCGTCCGTCCAATATCAATTGTCCAAAGCATATTTTCTTCTAGTGATCCAAATCTGCGTCACCCATAGAGTACCCGTAGGTGAATGGTGTGCAGTGATTTTAATTCAATTTTATAGATCAAAGGTCAAAGTAAAGAAAATCTGTGTGAAATCCTTATCCGGATATTTCATCTCCCCTTGGCCCTATTTGGATTTTACTTTACCCCGGAGAGCTTGTGGGAAAGGGGTGTGCGGTGACCTTGAGCGACATTTCTAAATCAAATGTTCACATTTCTTTGTAGAATCTTTGACTGGTTCATAATTTCTCTCCCCTTGGCCTGTATTTGGCTCTTCACACATGGAGTGATCATGGGAAGATGAAGTACAGTGATCTTAAATCAAACTTTTAGACCAAAGGTCAAGATCATAGCAGATCTCTGAGAAATTTTCTCCCCTTGACCGAATTTTGATCAAATATCACCAATAGGTTGCCTGTGAGTAGAGTTTGTGCAGTGACCCTGGACCAATTTTCTTGAATAAAGTTCAAGGTAAAAATCTATGTAAATGTTACAAAATATCTCAGACTCATGCAAATAAAACTAAAATTTCAATATTGACAGATTTTGTACTGAAAATAGGAGACCTGATTCAATTCCGCCAACGAAGAAACTTGATAGATGACACACTCATTTGTCAAATGCAATGGATAAACATCAGATAACTCTTAATCCTTTTTCATCAGCACTCATTTGAATATTAAATTAAAATTTCACTTTTTAAATATAAAAATGGCAGTTAATAGATACTATAGACGGTGATCATTGGATTCACTTTGCAAGATATTTAAGTTTCATGTCAAGAAATTTACTAAAATCACCCTTCTGAAGTAACTGTATCAAAATAAACAGACGATCTGGTTGTCTTTTTCTCGAGGAACTGATAGCATATTTTAGCAAACTTAAGAGAGAGACTCACTGTCAAATTCCCTAAAAGTGTGTATAAGGCAAAGCAGCCAATTCCCTTGGGACATGACCTGCTTCCGTCTTCCGCATGATCCTTCGTCATTTTTTCTGCTTTTTCCCAAATATCCTTTATTCTGTTTTACAAACGAAATTGACAAGATTGCTAATGAAAAGTTATTTCTCGTTCCGTATCTACCTCGACATTTCATCCTCAACAAGATTTGATTGTGTCCAATTCCAGATAGGAATAATGATCCCCAGGAACTTGCTTCTATGTATAACTTGCATGTGGCATCCATTGATCTTTGATCCTTTTCACCTTTTCAAGCTATACGACCCTAAGCATTTGCCTTTCAAAATATTTTACCCCGTTCTTTGCCTAAACTTTTAATGGCTCCCCTTAATTAAAATGTACTTTCCAAGTTATGGGTACTGTTAATTTCATAAACTTATCCATTTAAAACAGACTATGAATTCCTACTGATATAATTACATGTGTGTATACACCATGTGGAATCCAATAATAATAACGGTAAAACTAATACTCGAAGGTTGACGCAAGGTGAACCCCAGGCGCGGGACTAGAAATTTTCAAAAAGGTGAACATGTATAAAATCTAATATTACAATTTCATAAGATGTTGTTTTTTTTTAAACATAACTTTGTGTAATCTCTTCCAAATATGACAATGAAAACCGTTCAGTCTGTAGAGCGCTCGCTCCGTGATCGAGAAGTCGTGAGTTCGAATCTCGGCCGCGACTGACCTAAGTCGATAAAAAAATGGGTAGCAGCTGTTCCTTCGCCATGCGCTCGGTACTTTAATGTGAAAGCTGCAGGTCCTTCGGATGAGACCTTAAAAACCGAGGCCCTGTATCAGGGCAGGCATTGGCACGATAAAGATCCGTCACTGCTCAATGTCCTTAAGTGCCGGGTAAAGGTAAAAATTTGATGCCCTTCATCGGTATATGGTGACGTCTCTAGATGAGTGAAAAATTCTCGAATGGGACGTAAAACAACATACAATCAATCAATATGGGAGGAAAGCAGGAGAATTGTGGGTGGGTTTGGTTTTACACAAAGTTGATCGGGTGTGGGTTTGGAAAGGGCATTTCCTACCCACATACTGATAAAAGTTTGCACAATTCGATCATTCCAAAAGTTGTTATTTTGACATTTAAATAATCAATTAAATTTCATCGAAATTTTATGCCCTTTAGTAATAATAGTTGTTGTTTTGAAAGAAAAAGAAATTAAAAAAAAAAAAAAACACTCTCCTAAAAAGATACTTCAGCTACAAAAATATATATCAATGCATTACTCATTCATTAGCATATCTTTTTTAAACATTTCAGTCAAGAAGAACAACAACCTATCATTACATGGGATGAGTACTTTATGGGTATTGCTTTTCTGTCAGCAAGAAGAAGCAAAGATCCTGATCGAAAGGTAACATTTTTCACAAAAAAATCTTTTCTGTATAAATAACACATTTTAGATTTTTGTCTTTACTTTCTTTTTGTAATGAATGTTTGATTTAAAAAAAAAAATCCTAATAGTTTTATGTATCATACAGATTCGATGTACCTATGTCAACATTAAAAAGCATTATATTTCGTGAGTGTTCGATGTGATCATCATTTAGAAAATATCGAAGAGTAGGTATGTCTTTCATAAAAAAGACATTTGACAACGAAATCAGGTACCCAAGAACCTATAACTTTTTGCATGATTAGTAATCAACGAAAATTGGCTCCCGCAAATTAAAGTCATTCACAGAATATTAAGTCTATAGACACTTTCAGGTTGGTGCATGTATTGTTAACAAGAGAAATAGAATAGTTTCCGCCGGATATAACGGTTTTCCTGATGCTAGTGCTAAAGCCGATGAGCACTTTCCCTGGACAAAAAAGGAGAAACACGATTACGGTAAAGTCTTCACAATTTCAGCAATTGCATCAATAGTTACATATTACATAATAAATACATCTCGTCTTCTTTTGGAATTTGATGAAAGTACATTTTTTTTTCTTTTAGTTTGTCATGCTGAGTTAAACGCAATTGTCAACAGACATGCTACTAGTTTGGAGGACTGCACATTGTATGTTACGCTCTTTCCTTGCAATGAATGTGCCAAATTGCTGATACAGTCAGGAATCAAAAAAGTGATATATTTTTCCGACGATAAGGCTGATAGAGATGCATTCAAGGCTTCTCGGGCGCTGCTTACCTTTGCAAATGTTGTAGTAATGTATGTTTATGTTGTAGCAATGTATTTAAATGTTGTTGTCATGTATCTATATGCTGTAGCAATATATGTAAATGTTAGAGCAATGTATTTATATGACGATGGGGACAGATAAGAGAATAAAACAATTAAATGAATAAATCAATGTTTTAAGAGTAAATAAAGAGTAATTTTGATTTAGAAGCCATAACATCTACTATAAACTATTCATTTCACTTGTCTTTCCTGGTATTCTAGACTAATATATTCACGTTTGCAAATGTTTTCCCTTTGTAATATTATTTCAACAAGGCGTATCTTATCTATAAAAAAGTCATTGTTGAGTCATAAACGACCTAAGTTCACAGTGACATCATAAGTGGTCGTCGTGCTCAACACAATGAATTCAAACCTTTGAAGTTTGAAAAAAAAAATTATTTCATGGGCTTAAATTTATAATACGCAAATATTTGTAGTAAATCATTTACAGATGTAAATATAAGTAAAAAGGTATCATTAATTAACATTTATCATGATGTAAATATATGTACGAGTTGGTACGTGATCAACCTACCATAAAGCCCTTCTAGCTTTTTGGGATTTGATCACATGGCCAGCCCGTATTTACATCCCGATAAAATTTTAAAATGAAATATGAAGATAACGAACAATATTTTATTTCTTACTTATTTCAATAATTTCTGTTTCAGACACTACAAAAATCTTCAACGAAGGGTTGGAGTTCCTCTTCTGACTGAAATAAAACTAGAATTTACTCCTCCACAAGACGACTGAAAGCAATGTTGATGAAGAATAAAAACAAACAAATCTTTAGTGTGTCTGAAATTTACAAGCACTCATATTAATATTGTAATATTGATATAATGTAATGCTCTAAGAAACTCTCAGTTAATGAATAAGGTTAAGGTATGAATAGAAGATGGGTGTAAAGTTTAAAACTGAATGTTGACAAACGTCATCAGTAATAATCTTCTTTGTTAACATCATGTCCATCCAAAATTATGACTGTTGTATTACTGAATATTTTAGTGACATAAACTATTAAATCAATATTCCTTATATCGTGAAGAGTTAAAAATAGGAGGCATTAAAAGGCAACATTTAAATAAGATAAACATTATATCAACAATTTGTAACTTCCCATGCGTATAACTTCTAAGGTCCAGTTCATTGTAAGCGAATATAAGTTTTCAAACTTCATGGACATTATTATTATGATTCTAAATGATCCTACATGGGCCCAAATTTTAACCAGTTTTCCCCTCTTTTCTTTATATATTTTATTTTAATTGTGTGCTCAAAATGGCATGTAAGCCTGGTTGGCCGGATGTTCGATTCATTTTTAATTTACTTGTAAACATAATGTGTGAAAATGTAAACTTGTCACTATAAATAAATTATTACTTATAAAAGGATTATTACAAATCATTTATGTAACATCAAAACGTATTCTAAATAATTTTTGAAAAATGTCATCTATATACACAAATAAGTTGTGTCGATTAATTTACATCTATTCTTTTCGTCCATCTTGACTTTACGACCGTCTTTACTTTATGTCCGCTTTTACTTTGGGTCCTTCTTTACTTTACGTCCGTCTTTACTTCATCTTGCTAGCTCTGTCTTTAGTAAAATGCATTATCTTTCTTTTTCAGAAATCCTGTCATCTACTCAATGCCTCTCAACCGTTTAATTAAACTATATCTTTATTCGTATTGCTTTTTCATCAGTTTTCCTTAATACTTTGAAAAACTGTGTGAGCGATATATAACGTTTTCCACTTGGTTTCTATCTATCTTATTCTCTTTGCCCAAGATAATTCACCAAAATGTAATCTAATGTGTATTTTCATTAAAATATAGATTAAAAAATACATGTGTATAGAATTTTAGTAAAACGACACCTTTTCCTCCTTTCTCATTTAAACATATTTACTAGTAAGAGCCATATTTTCTGCAATTTTATATTCAATTCTGTGTGAAACTATCCTCATACATACAAAACAGAGCCAATTCTAATAATTACCGAACGCTAGGGCGTAAAACTTCAAATTGTGTTCTTAAATTTAAAAGTTGCTTGTCTGAAGTCTACATATGTTTATACATCAGAATAATCTGAGAATCCTTAACATCGATATTAATTTTGATTCCTGTAAGACTTTAACGTACCTCTAATATAACAATAACATTAAAATATTTTTTAAAAAAAGATATTTGAACCTACAGTTATGATTCTAATGATCTCCAGTTGTGGCCCTTCCATACCTCTGGGGTCATGATTTGAACAAAATTGAATCTACGTTACCTGAGGATGCATCTATATTTAAAATATAACTGATCATAGCTTTGCTGTTCTTAAAAACGTTAAAAGATTTTTCCTATATATACCCATGACTGTATAACTTTGATCCCCAGATATTGCCCCACCCTATCAACAAGGTCAGGATTTGAACAAATTTCAATCTGCACTGAGGATGCTTCTATAATAATATAACCAATTATGACTTCGCTGTTCTTGAGAAGATTTTTTAAAGACATTTCATATATTTTCTCATGTAGAGCTTTGTCCCCTGTTGTGGTCCCACCCTACAAACGGGGATTATAATTTGAACTTCAATCGTCATTACTTAAGGATGCTTCAGTATGAATATGACTAATTATGGGTTTGCTGTTCTTGAGAATAAGATTTAAAAGATGTTTTCCATGTATTCCTATGAAAAACTTTGATCGCTTTGTGGCCCCAGGGGTCATTATTTATACTAACTTTAATGTACACAACCTAAGGATCTTTCTTACAAATATGACCAATCATGGCTTTGTTGTTCTTAAGTTGTGGTATTTAACTTTTAAATCTTAGGCATGTCCAGGGAATACAGGTTGGGGATTCAGGAGAACAGGATTTTTAAAGATATATCCTATATTCCTCATGTATAGCCTTGATCCCCATTTGGGATTCCATCCTACCCCCGGGCATCACGAGTTGCACAAACTTGAATCTACACTTCAATGCTTTCATATAGAAATCACAATCATGGCTTTCCTATTCTTGAGAAGAAGTTTTTTTTAAAAATATATTTCCTATATATTCTTATGTTTGTTTTCCCATTGTGACCCAACCTCATCCCAGGAGAAAATGATTTGTACGAAAGTGAATCTACATTAACTGAGGATGCTTCCATAAAGAAATGACAAATCATGGCTTTGCTGTTCTTAAGAAGAAAATTTTTATTGAAGATTTAATCTATGTATTCCTATGTAAAACTTTGATCGCCCATTGTTGCCCAACCCTACCCCCGGTAGGCATGATTTGAACAAAGTTGGATCTATACTACCAGATAATTGATCCACATAAGTCTCATCTTTTCTATCCCGCTGGTTCTTGAGAAGAAAAGATTTTAAAATGCCATCAATTTTTCACTAATTCGTTTTTCTCTCTCCTTAGAGGATACTGTGACCCATCATCTGAACAAACTTGAATTCCGTTTATACACAATGAAATCTGCCCAGTGGTTCTCGAGAAGAAGTCGAAAATGTGAAAAGTTTACAGACAAGCGGACAGATGAACACTGGACAAAATGTGATCAGAAAAGCTCACTTGAGCCTTCTGCTCAGATGAGGTTAAAACAAGTTTATGAAAAAATCCGTGTATCCCTTTCATACCTTATAACCTTTGTGACGGTGGTAATATTGTATATATCAACACGTGACTCTAAATACAGGTATAATAGATCATGTCATTCCAATCAATGCCGTCATTGCAATAAATACAATCACACGAATAATCTATGTATATTGCATTTTTGAAATAAGCAATTCCATTTAAAAAAATCGTAGGAAGACTATTTCTATGCAATTCACCTTTGTCGCTTTAAGAAGAACTATATAATCTTTTTAAATGTATGTCCTTGTCTCCAATTAGCATCTATTTTTTTAGTGATTTTTCAGGCTTTCTTACAAGCCCCTATCTTATATGGGATGTCTTACTATGGTTTGAAAGACTATTGGTGTTTTTAAAGTTTAATTTCTCATTTTTCCCACTATCGTAGAGATTCAATGCATCACCGGCCAAATCATATGAAGTGGAAACACGGGTTCACAATATTTTTGTAAAATGTTGAATTACAACCATTGCTTCAAAGGAATACTGTGGAATCATCATTGTTCGTGGGGGACCAATGTTCGCGGATTTCGTGGGTCATCCCTACCCACGAATATACATCCCCACGAATGTTTATTTTGTAAACACATTGATTCATTGAATCTACCTTATAAACGGGTAACCAACGAAATTACGTCCCCACGAACAAGTACAATTTTGCTTGCCCACGAAAATTGACCCCCACGAATTAAAATGATTCCACAGTATTTTGTTTCAAATCAATCCTTGGGTATATGCATGGTTTCCGATAGAAGTCTTTAAAGACTTCTTAGCATCTCCTTTGAAACTCCTGCAACCAAAAGGCATGCTAATCTAATATTAGTCATCTAATTCTTGAAAATAATCAGATTCTGGCTGTTCTTACTCATTATTTTCCCCGGATTCAGGTCACTCAAAAACTGTAACGAATTTGTCTCACTGAGGATTGCAGATGCCTCTGTGGAGGAATCTTAAAATATACATATCCATGTAGATGAAAAAGAGTACGGAGAGAATTCAATAATTAGAATCCATTAATGAATGTGAGGAAGAATTAATATATGAATGAATAGAAATCTTATTGGACTTTCGTCATCATAAATTATACTCAGTAATGTGAGGGAAACATTACATAGTTAAAAATGTTATTTTTTATTGAAATCAAGCAAACAAACTTGTATTGACAGCACTAAGTAAATATTGAATATAATACAGTCCGAAAATGTTCCTGGGTGTAGAGATTTGAACGTAACTTACAAAAACACAAATGATTGTTCATCAAATTTATCATTGACTTTAACAGACAGCATGCAGCTGTAGTTATTCTTTTTCAGAGAGTATTAACTGTGAAGACTCAGGTAAATAAAATCTCATTTTAAATACATCTCATCAAGTATGTTAACCTTTGTGGAGTTAAGGGATTTGAACTTTACTTACATAAACACAGATGTTTATTCAGAAAATTGAACACAGACTTTAGAATTAACACAAAATGCTTAATTTATTCTGACTTTTTTTTCAGACAGCGACATCTTTGAAGACCCAGATAAATCAATTCTCACCTTAAATATACCTTCCGAGTATGACAACATTTACAACATTTACAACAATTTTAGAAATGCTATATTGATATAAAAGGTCCATATAGATAAAAGCAAGTGGATAACAATATTGCATTGTATGTATTGTATGTGTTGACTGCCTAATATTTAAAAGGAAAATGTGTAAAAAAAAATCTATTATACGCGTGTGTTTTCAAATTTATTTTGCTGTATAATGCATGATTTGTTTTATACTTCTTCTACGAAGTAGACGGCAGGGTTTTACGCTCCTTATGTTCACAGTTTCTTTTGTGTTTTTACTAAGGACAGACCGTGATGATTAAACATTCTGTAACGACACCGGATACGCGCACTGGTGTATAATAATAAAATAAAAACTAATTTCTTTCTCTCTACTTCCAAATTAAAAGTGAAATAAAGACAAGTCTTGTAAATTTAACAAATAAATTGTTTATTCTGAACACATATTTTTTTTTCTATGAAGTAATAATTCCAAATAAATCCTTAAAACCTAAGTATTCTGTACTTTTTATTGTATTGAGAGTGATAAATTTAACCAGTAATTAAGATAAAAAC